GAGGACATGAAAAAGGGAAACCCTTGTTCACTGATGGTGGGAATGCAGATTGTTGAAGCCACTGTGGAGAACAGTATGGAGTTTCCTCAAAAAATTAAAAATGGAACTCCCGTTTGACCCTGTGATCCCACTTCTAGGAATATATCCCAAGAAACTAGAAACACCAATCAGAAAGAATATATTCACCCCTATGTTCATAGCAACACAATTCACCATAGCTAAGATCTGGAAACAGCCTAAGTGCCCATCTGTAGATGAATGTATTAGAAAACTGTGGCACATCTACACGATGGAATACTATGCTGCTGTAAAAAAGAAGGAACTCTTAGCATTTGCAACGGCATGGATGGATCTGGAGAGCATTATGCTAAGTGAAATAAGCCAGTCAACGAAGGAAAAATACCACATGATCTCACTCATTTATGGATAATAAAGACCATTATAAACTTATGAACAAAAATAGATACAGAGGCAGAGCTGCCTCAAACAAACTGTCCAGCTACAGCGGGAAGGCTGGGGAGGGTTGGCGGGCAGGAGGGGGAGGATGAGAGATCAACCGAAGGACCTGTATGCATGCATATAAGCATAACCAATGGACATAAGACACTGGGGGGTAGGGGAGGCCAGGGGATTTTCAAGGGTGAGGAAAAAAAGGAGACATATGTAATATTCTTTGTAATACTTTGCAATAATAAAGAAAAGAGTTCATAGCAAAAATAAATAAAAAATAAAATGGGGGGAAAAAACAAAAACAAAACAAAACACACAAAAACAACAACATACTACCAAAAATGACTGGCTCAAATAAGAAATAAAAGATGAGGTCAAAAGATATATAGAGACAAATGAGAATGACAATACAACATGTCAAAACATCTGGGATGCAGGGAAAGCATAATACGAGGGAAGTTTATATCATTACAGGTGTATTTCAAAAAACAAGAGAAATCCCAAGTAAACAACCTAACATTACACCTTATAGAACTAGAAAAGGAAGAACAAAAAGCAACCCAAAGTCAGTAGAAGGAAGGATATAATTAAAATTAGAGCAGAATTGAATGAAATAGACAACAAAAAGACTATACAAAAAATAATACAACAAAGAGCTGGTTCTTTGAAAAGATTAATGAAATCGACAAACCTCTAGTCTAGCTAGACTAACTAAGGAAAAAAGGAAGAAGACCCATATAAACAAAATCAGAAATGAGAGAGAAAAAATTACCACAGACATCACAGATATACAAAGGATACTAGAAT